TAAAAATTTGATTGGACATTTTAATGCGCAACACCTATTTTTGCAAATATATTACAAATTTTTCTAATCTAAAAGTCAAAAAAATGTTGAAGAAATCAGAAATCAGTAATTAGAAATCAGTGATTGCCTTTTTTTGATCTTAAATTTCATAATTTTACAAACCACTATAAATAATATCAATAGTGGTAGGTTTTATAGTTGTGACCCGAAACCTGAAACTATACATAAATCCCCGAAACCGAAACCTGAAACCTTTTCCGAAACTTTAATACTATACTGAGAAGCTTAGAAATTTAGATTTAAACTTTAAAACTTAAAGTATATGATAATTAGATTGTATTCTAAGAGTTTTTTTAGTTACTTTATAGCAAATGAGTATTAATTTTTAGCATTCTAATTTGAAGATTTTGGAAAGTTTTCGGGTTTCGGGTCACAACTATAGTAGGTTCATTATTTTAGCAATAAAAATTATTGCAGTTTGCAAATTATGTGAAATTTGAAGATCATTAAAAAAAAAGGTAATCACTAATTTCTGATTATGATTTCTGATTTCTTCAACATTTTTTTTTGACTTTTAGATTAGACAAAATTTGTGTATCTATTATTTTGTAAAAATTTTATTATTTTTTATAGAAATAAAAGTTGCATATTCATTGTTTTGTAATATATTTGCAAAAATAGATGTTGCGAATTAAAATGTCCAATCAAATTTTTACAAATAATAAATGCGCAGATTTTGTCTTGTCTAAAGTCAAAAAAAAATGTTGAAGAAATCAGGAATCAGTAATCAGAAATTAGTGATTACCTTTTTTTTTATTGATCTTCAAATTTCGCATAATTTTGCAAACCGCAATAATACTATGTACGTAGAAGATTTGTAATCAGTCAGTTTTAAATTAGTCCGATTATAGAATTTTATGAATTCTATGAATTCTGAATAATTTATTGGTAAGATACAGAGTTCAAAGAATCCATTAAATTATATGATATATATTGTTGAAAATAGCGATGATGTTGGTCAGGTTCGTAATTTTGAAAATAGATGAGTTTAATTTTTTGCAGTGGGTTAGGCTCATAATTTTAGTAATAATTTCGATTATAGTAGGTAAGCTCACAATTTTTAGTGGCTGATCTCAATAATGAATAGGTTCATAATTTTAATAATAAGTTTATAAGTTAAGGTTACAACTTTAACTGTAATTTATGATTTTAATAATGAGTAAGTTTATAAAGTAAGTTTACAACTTTAACTGTGGTCATGATTTTAACAGTATGTAGGTTTAATAAGTTCATTCTTTTCTAAGAAATCAGCTAGGTGAACTGAATTTTCAAGCAAAGATCGTATATCTAGTAGATTTAAAATGTGCAATACTATTAATTTATGTATATTTAATCTTAAAACAAATAAAATTATTAACCTTATTTCATGCTGAGGCACAGACTAAAAACTAGTGAATTATAAAATACTTGATTATTTATCTTTCCAAATAAAGTTTTGTTCCTATGTCAGAAGGAAGAATTATATGCTTGTTGTTAATTACCTAATTTCACATCATTTTCATTATAGAATGCAGTATTTCTAAAATTTAAACACCCAATAGTATCTTCAGTTGCAGACAGACATAGAAAAATGCCAATCACTACTAAATAGAAACAAAATAAATGAATACTTACTCAACTGGAATTAAATACTCAATCTTTTCTAAACATCCACATTTGTGCATACATTTAATTTTAAAAACTATTTGTAAAGCATAGAAGAAGACCATATTCATAATAATAATAATAATAATAATAATAATAACGATAATAATAATGATAATAATGATAACGATAATAATAATGATAATAATGATAATGATAATAATAATGATAATAATGATAACAATAATAATAACAGTAACAATAGCGATTATAATAATAATCGAAGTTACTGAATATTCGACCTAATAAATATGCTTTCTATTAGTTAATTTCAGAATTGTTGAAATAAATAAAAGCAGGTGAAGCTTACCAAGTACAAAAAAATTTTAACACACCCATATTTTAGATTTCTGCTAGCCAAAGTTTAATGATAATAGAATGTTTTGATTAGAACAAAAAAATCAAAGAAAAACTTTACTATTGAATAGAGAATCATACAATTTATTTATTTATTTATTTTTGCGATCACAACTAAGAATTGCTTAATAATGAATACAAAAATAGTTTATCTTAGTGCAGTACAATCAAACATTGGTTTCGAAAAAGGGTATGTGTTATAGTATAGCACAATATAAATGTGTGAACTTGAGCCATTGAGTGCTATACTGTTTGTGATATACCTTTGATTACAGATTGTTGTAGTGTATTGACTTTTTAAACAGTGATGTATGTTATAGCAATTCTATTTATTATGCTTAAAGGATACTTGCACGATTTTACCTTCATAATATGTGGTCAGTAATAATTTCGCACACAATCATTAGAAATACTAATGATCAATATATTTCCAATCCTTAATGCATACCATAAACTTTAACCATTTCTACAGGCATGTCAAAAACATCAATAAATTGATATTAAGAGGGTTCGATGCTATAACTTATTCAGTGGATCAAAAAAATTATCAAAATCTAATTAATTTTATAATTTTTATTGTATAAATGTATGAGGAATCGAAGTTATCGAAGTTTACCTTTTAATTAAAGTATTACGAAATGTTCAATATTGACTTTAATAAAAGATTCTCTCCTTTTTTAATAAATTGATTATTAGTCAACCTTATGATTGAATATTACCATGTTATTAGCATTATAAGGCATTTGTGACTTACATAGCGAACCCGTCATATACTCTAGGCTTAAATCGAAGCCCCAAATTCATCTCATCTTAATACATATATTTCTTCCTGAGACAATTTGATAATAGTTTTAAAGTTTTAGTTAGATTTTCCCACTCATATCGTAAACAAAAGAATGAAAAAAAAGATACAAAATTGATAAAAAAAATAAAATAAAATAAAACAAAATGAAAAGAAAATGTTCAATGCTTAATAACTCATTAACAAGTGCTGGAACAATCATAGAAAAAAATCAAGCTATGCTTTTGCATTGTTTAAGAACTATCTAGACAACAAATCTTGTTATATGAATAGTTGGATTTTACTGATTATTTCTTGTCATTACTAATATATTGCTAGCAAATATTCTATATAACCTACTTACAAAAAAAAAGCACATGCTTTGTTTATAAACTTAAAAACTCTCTTACTGGAAAATCTTTCATTATTCCATATTTAGTTGGAATTTTTAAATCTAAAGTGATCTCATCACACTTCCTAATCACTTTCCTAGTATCTTGATCGCGTTGCTTTGCAATTATAACATTTCTAACTGTTTGATGCACAAAGGCTCCAAGCTTTATACCTATTTCTGGTTGTTTATTTAATTCTGGCAAGTCGGTAGCATTTAGGTGCAATTGTAAAATTCTTTCTATATACTTTCATTTATAAACTCGTGTATTTCATCCATTAAAGGCTCTTCTTCTCTAAAATTTAATTAATAATAATCTCTTTACTAAATTATTATTAATTTGTTACAATTTCAGATAATGTGTACTAAAGTAATAATTACCAGCTGTGGGTTTTCAAAAATCATTTGCAAGATTTAAAATTGCCACATTAAAGTTGTGCCGATATACATTATACCAATTTCTTATATCTTTGACTACCATAGACATTCTATAGTCACATTTTTGAATTTTACATACTCTAATGACCAAATCTCAATACAGTGTTGGAGCGTTATTTCTTGTTCTAAGAAACATCGCTTTGCACTCTTCTTGAAGATAAAACTTAGCATGCTAATGAAATATGTTACATGAATTTTCTGAAGGTCATCCTCTCAACAGGCCATTTAACTGACATCACGTTGCATGAAATTCACTAACAACATATAACCGCAACTAATAAAATGCTAAATTATAATGCTGTACGATATAGGTTAGATGACCTGTCAGGAAAATGATTGTTAGAAAATTGAGAAAGTTAGCAATATTAAATGAAATATATTTATAAATCTATATATACAATAATTGTTAAAATATATAAAGTTTTACCTTACTAATCTCTGAATGATCTGGTATGAATCAATGGTCTTTGGGTGCATTTCATCTAAGATTTCAGCTTTTCTTGCATTAAAGATATTATTAGCCAAATTTAGAACCCTCAGATGAAAAGCTACCCATGAGGCAACTTCAAATTTGTTTGATGCATTTTTGAGCTTTGTAAAGGGTTCTTGAGGTAAATCACTATCTATTAAGATATATAAATTTTATATATACTAATATTGGTTTATATTTAAAAAATTCTTACCATTATTTGAGTGCGAATTTGCTGTGGCTGTATATGGCATATTTCTTGTTACATTCTTTTCTATAGACCTTGAATATGAGAATAGCATTGTCGCAGGATCCCTGTTTGTAGATTTTAAAGATATAAAATTCTCTGATGCCAACTCATTATGAAAATCGAAATTGTCAACTAAATAAGTGTGAATTAAATATAAAACATTAGATTATATTTAAAAAATTATCTAAATCACATATCTAATACATACCTGATACCACTGCATAACTATTATCTTCTTCTAAATCATCATCTCTTAAATAATCCTCCCTTAAATTATCCTCTCCTAAATTATCCTCTCTTAAACCATGCTTACTTAAAACATCTTCTCTTAAACCATGCTCACTTAAAACATCCTCCCTTAAACCATCTTCTTTTAAACCATCTTCTCCTAAATTATCCTCTCTTAAATCATCCTCTTCCTCATCCATAATTTCTTCAATTACGTTTTCAATTCTTTGTTCTTTGTCATTTGTTTCGGACTCAAAATCTAGTGATATCAAGAAAAGTATTATAAATCAGTAGTATGTATTTATTTTTATGCTTACTTGTAATGAGTATATTAAAAAATAACATACTAATAGAAGTATGCTGAGTTTTATGGGTAATACTCTTCTAACAGGAACTGCTTTTCTAACAGGAGCTGCTTTCCTAACAGGAGCTGCTTTTCTAATAGAAGCTGGTGTCTTAACGGAAGTTGCTTCTTTGACGGGAGTTGTTTTTCTAATGGAGGTTGCCTTACTAGGCAGTGCTTGCGTATTATGAACTTTCTCTCTCGTATTTTCTGTAAAAAAAAAATTTTGTTTATTATACTTAATAAAGAACTAAGAGAAATAAGAGAAATTTAAAAATATTAATTTACTTGTGGATTTTCTTTTAGAGGCCATCATAATTTAGTAATAAAATGTCTTGCAAAAAAATAGTGTATATACACTATTAATTATATTAGCATATTAAAAAAAAATCTTTCTATCAATCACTTACACAAAATTTAACTAAAAATTTACCAGTATAAAATCCTTAATAACTCAATATTTTATTAAGATAACTGTTCTTAACTTCTTAAGCAAACTTGCTTAGCTCTTAATTTTACATATAATTTAAGAGTTTCAAGCTTCTATCTTAAAAACTCGTAGCATAACGCTACAAAAACCTCTTTTGGTTTTAGAATCTAAACTTTTAACTATTTCTTTAAAACTATCTTTACAACTTATCTGTTAGCACTAAGATAAGTTGTCAAGCTCTTCCATCTGGTCAAAACAAGCTCTCAACAGAGGCTTTCAGCCTAATATTGACCAAAATATTAACAAAAACTTTCTTTGCTCCTCTACAAAAATTCCTAAAAATTCTTTTGTCCTTACCTCCAACTTTTTTTCCCCAACCCGTTTTTTGTGTAATGGTAGATCATATTCAAACTTAGAATTAATTAAATTTTCTATTGTATCAATCAAATTACCTAAAA